GTTTGGTGCTGGTCAGGAAAGTTTAGCCTTGCCCATTGGTCGAATCCTGGCCGATCAGGTTGGCATTTAACACTTCCTCCATACTCAGCTGCTGACAAAACCTCAACTAGTTTTGGGTGGCTCCGGATCCAAGTGGATTTTGGTTTAATGATAAAGAAGTTCCAGAACTTCTTGAAGGGAAGTACTGTGGTGTTGGCATTTCAAAGTGCTTTAAAACTATTGAAGGGATAGGAGGAACTCCTACACTGGCGGTCGTTGTTGACTTGAAAAAGAGTGCCCTTTATTACGATAGACAGCCGTTAATCAAAAAAATCGCTGAAATCTTTTGTGTAAAGGTTAAGAGTTTAATAAGTAAAATAGAAATAGAACTACTTAATAAATTGCTGAAAGGACTATACGTTCGGTGTTGCTATGGGAAGTATAGAACTTTCCGGCTGTTTGAAGTGATGGAGCAGACACCGGACGAAAGGAGCTTCATGTATTGCGGAACAACGATAACACTTGTTGAATATTTTGAAAAGGTTTACCATATCACCTTGAATTACCCAAAAATGCCAGTTGTAGTGGAAAAGACCTACAAAAAGGAACTGAACTACTACCCAATAGAGCTTTTACAAGTTTGCGAAAATCAGCGCGTAACACTGGTTCAGCAGACCACTGCCCAAGTGCGAAAGATGAATAAAGTCTGTACGGTAGCTCCTAACCGGAGTAGAGAGCAAACAGACAAATCGAGAAAATTTCTTAGGATTGATGAGTGTGGCCAGAAAAATGATTGGTAAGGAAAGCTCGGTGTAGAAGTCGCCAAAGAAAGTACAAAGTTAAAAACGCGTATTATCCCGAAGCCAACTGTTGTTTATGAGAGAGGTGTTGAGGTTACTGTCTGTGATTCGGCGTCGTGGGTCATGCCCGGAAACGCAGAGTACTTAAAAGAGGACGATTTCGGAAATGGGCGATCTTTCTTCTGTTAAGAAAAAACGATTCATTTAAGAAGGAGGATTTAAGGCGTTACAAAGATTCGTTTCTGGCTAGATGTAGGCAAAGAGGACTCGGTGTCGAAGAACCAAATATTGAATAATTTATGCTTGGTCTGCTATGCATGTTAATCTGATTGCTCCAGCGACAACATATTCTCTGATGAGTTTCCCGTCCAGCATTTGCCATTTTCGCACAGCTAGTAGACCATCAGGGTCGCTATCTCTTGCACGTCGAAGGTGTCGAAGGGATGGTACCGTTCATCTTTCTTCCGAAGGATCTCCACTATCATTGAAGCGTCCTGCTTTCCCGCTTTGTCCCGCACGCAATTTTCTGTCTTGGCGCTAAACGATACTACTTCCAAGCAACTTATCGCTATACCTGGTGACGAGGCTAGTATTAACAGAATCACAGTGCATGACACTTGTCTCCAATTATACTAGAAACGTCTACTAGGTTCCCTTTGACTCGTAGGTATTGGCATTTCATTATTTTGACTACCCCTACAGACTCGGCCTACTACCTTGCAAGCTATTCATGAGATGATTCCTAATAACCTCCACAGGCAAATCAAAAGCATTATGACTATTTTCAGCAAGAAATAGAGACATGCAATAGCGCAACATAGAGTTAATACCATAATGAGAGTTTCAAAAGGTGATGCACACTGAGGATTA